ATGGCGATACTTTGGTGTTCACCAAGGTCATACATACACTTTGTGCTCTTCTAAACCAGAGGAGATGGGTGCAGAATTAGCTGAAAAGTACTTTACTCAATGTCTACTACATGCACCAGCTGCAACACCAGAGGTACTCCAGCTGTGAAGATGCTCTCGCCTAGTGGCAAAAGCTACATGCTCCCTCTGAGCAAAGGAAGACGCCAGGCAGTTCCAGGTGCACTGTTGATCTGGGGACAGCATCGCAGCTCATTGCTTCACTGAGCCTGATCCTAAGTTGTCTGGGTTTTTTTTCTTTTTACAGAAACTCTATTAAGAAGTCTATAAGGTTTTCTCATTTTAAACAGCATACGGCTAACTGCTGTGAATTGGAAATAAAGATATAATAAATAGGTATGATAAAATGGGTACACTGAAACCTGATTAATATACTATGTAAAAAAATAATTATAAAATACTCAGGAAACAGACGAATACATTTCTTGTACTGCTAGAGTCTTGGACAGAAGTGGCAAACAATATGGAAAATAGCACATTAGAGCTTTATTTTACACCTAGAAAGTTTCTGATAGGGTTTCACATTGACTGCCACACTTCCAACAGAACACAGGCATGCACAGAGGTGTCTAAAAAGCAGGAAATACTAAGCAGTGTGGATGAAAGAAAGTCTAACTAGCCAGTTTTATGATAGTAAAAAGTGATTGAAATCTGAACCTTGCTGTATTTAACAGCCTGCACATCACATTTCCCCAGACAGCTCCTTTGAAAGGTTGACCAATTTGTTTCAATACAGTGGCCACTCAACAGCACCAAAAAAGACAGCATATATCCAAAGCACTGTATGGAAATTCTTCTTCCAAATGTACAATGTGAAGCCTAAAGTACAAAAGCAGTTAATTTATCACAGAAGCAGAGATTCCTACAGTAACTAATTCAAACTGCTGATGATGCACTAAATCAGAGTGAGTGATGAACACACACATAGCAGCGAGTGAAGTTCAAAAGGATACAGATCTATGTGATCAATGAGCTGCCACATGGCAAATGAAATGCAGTGTTGACAAACGTACAGTAATAGAGATGAGGCTCCAAAATAATCTAACTAAGAAAAATTTAAATAAACAAGTGCAGAAATGTCTCATTAAAGAGCTGGAGGTGCCTCTTTACACACATCTAAGTACCAGATATTCAAATCACTGGGCTTTCTATATTTAATATGAAAAAAATATACCTTGCCATAAAGCAGTAAAACCTTCCAGGAAATGTAATACAGTGACACCAGTCATGTAAGCAACTGCCTATTTTAAGGACATAGACTAGAAACAACAGCCTACAGATGAAAATCTCACACAAATCTAATATTATATTGCATACTACTGCATTGAGTGATGACTGAATGATAAGGCCAACTTATGTCTTCTTCCTCTACCAATCTATGCAGTTCAGAAACATAATCAGAGCCAGTGGTGCTGACCAAGCCTCTTCATACTCTAATCACTGTCCTAGCTGATTAATGGCTTTTTGACTGTAAAGCAACAACACTTTGTAAGAAGAGTACTGGCATTCAGTGACATGCACCTCTTGAATTTCCCCAGAGCATAAGCAACTTTTCACATCATGAAAGATGTCGGGACTTTTAACAAGAAAGAAACCATCTACTGTGAGAAGGAAAGGTTTATTAGACATTTTCTACAAAAACAATAGCTGTGACTTTCTTGCGTGCAAGTGTTACCAGCTATGGCCATTACTGTCATCATTCAATTATTCATTACAATCAATATAAATATTTTTTCTTTTGGTTTTGTCTGTGGAGTGCTATGTGAAAACGGTGTGAAAGTTCTGTCTTTGTTACTGAATTATCTGTTTGAAAATGTCACATGATTCAAGACATCACATGTCTTTGAAAAGCTTCCAGAAAATCATACCTTCACTAGGTAGTCTCTCGGGCTGCAGTTTTATTGTGGAACTTCCACACTATAATCTAACGGTCTTTCACAGTATATTTACCGTGACAGGAACAGGCCAGTTAGTCTCGACAGATATGAATCTCTCTAAAGCCACCTGCGCTGTAAAACCGAGCATCTCTACTACAATTTTACCTCCTTGCAGACTCCTCAACAGAACTGTTAGGGATCATATGTACCTTTGTACGTTTGCTCATATTCATTGTTAAAGAATATCCAACAAAGAGCCCCACTCTCCTTCATCAACTTTTTTCTTCTCATTTTTAACACAATTGATTGTTTTCTTTGACATATAAGGGATTTTTCTCCCCTGAGCTATCTTGATCTGCTCTTCAAAAAGTCCACCTGCCAGGTGAGAGCATGTAATTAGATTTAAGAAAAAAGTGGTAGGGAACAAAAAAGGTAGCTATCCCATTTGCTTCTTGCTCTAAATTTTATCTTTTCCTCCCCTTAACCCAAAGGTCAGCTTATTTGTGGTAGCTTCTCTTATATAAAAGCTCTAATTCTGTAGCTCTTAATTAGATGACGAATCATACCTTGATATCGATGAAACCACAAACACTCAACGCAAACACAAATAAAGGGTTACTCATTATGGTTTACACTAGTGTAATAAGAGTACAGGAATACTCTTTTTCGTCATCTGTGAAACACTAAGGACATACTTGATACACTAAAAAGAACTGAAGTAATATTAATGTTATTAACGCTGATGTGGTCCACGTACTGGAGGCTAATGAAAAATAAAGCAAATAAGATAAAGTGAAGGTCCTTCAGAATTCAGTTACTCAGCAAGCCATTAGAATGAGCCAGGAGGAATGAAACATCAAGTGCTCTTTCAGAGTATTTGTTATTTGAAGAGATTTATAAATAGGAGTAATAAAGACTTGATTTTGCAGCTATCCTTGAGAAAGGCCATTTAATTGAATGTTAGAATTCTATGATAAAACTGGATTCAAAGGAACACAATGCTAAATCCGAAGTAATGGTACCACAGCTAAAGAGCTAAAAAGCCTAAATGAATGCATGATAGAAGAGGTAAACTAGTCCTCCAGTTCCCTCTATCATTAGCAAAGCTAGCCACCCAACTCTACAGTGGAGGAGCGCTATTTTGTTAGATCTACAAAACAAAAAGAATTAAATAATTGACAGACATTTCCAACTGTAGAACTTGAAGCTTATGAACAAGCTTATGAACTTCACGTTGTTCAACTTGGAGACATGCACATGGAAAATCCATATCTGGATTTCGAATAGTTTTTATAAAAGAAGTTAGAACATCATCTTCCTACTGAACTGATGCCAAGACTTTCACTAGTCAGCTTTTCACAGTTAGAGTTTTCATAGACTTTCATTAGCAAACAGAAGAGTGTCTATTTAGAGCAGAACTGGTGAAAAGCAGAAATAATAGGAAACCACTCAAATCAAAAAACAAAGCTCTATTACAACTTCATGGTAATTATGATTATTTAATCCTTGCATAGCCCTATTCTTTGATCTGAACTTTTTTCTAAATTTATTTCAGGACAACTTTCACACTGTTATTTCTCAGACAAACGTATAAGAAAATAGAAAAAGGAGGTTTGAGATGTATGTATAAACACTTTCCCCTCCTGAAACCCTAAGTGACATACTTTTTTTTGCCAAAAAAAAAGTGCTATTGAATTTCTGTATGAATATATTTGTGCAGGCAAAAGCTTCTGCCTGGAATATGGAATTTGCTGGACTAAGGACAGAAGTCTTACTGGCGTAAATGAGATGATGGTTTTACCCTTGACATAAACAATATTTTACAAAAGAAACTTTTGATTTCAAGTTTTCTTGCCTGGATAAGAAGATTAACTAACTGATCTGACCTGGTGTTACAACTAAGAAAATGAGCCAACTGGGTCCTGTGAATATGTTATCCTGCAAACCCTGAATGTCCTATAAACTCTCCAAAAAGACATATTTTGCTAGCAGCTTTCCTTTCATTGCCTATTGCATGGAACACACCTCTCTGACACAGCCAATGCATTTATTTAACTTTTGTTTTATATTTTATCTTCCAATTCATTTTGGTTAGAGATAGAATTATTCTGTTAAAAAATGACCTGATCCCAGATGTAGTTTATTTAAATTTCAAAATGAAAAGCTTACTAAGAACAGATAAGATTGATTGCTCTTTCCATCTTGGCATAATTGTATTTCAGGTGAACATCAATTTACTTTAAAGGACACTTCTAAGTAGCAGGCTGCATCATACATAATTCATCAATCACAGCTGCCTGTAACATGATTTAATCAAGCAGATTTCAATGGAATAGAGGGAGTTGCATTGTTTTTTATGCTTTAGCTTGTTTGTTTTTAAATAGTTTACAAAACACTCATTTGTGCTGAATTATTGTTGAAAAGAGTTCATCCTTGGCAATCAGCATGTTGAATTTCTTTCTCTTCGTACAGAAATGGTACCTCTTTAAATTTCTTTTAAAAGGCAGAGCGAATTTTCAAAACATCATTAAGGTAGAGAGCATTCCATGCTTATCAAAGGTAAAAATAAAGCTCAAGGATTTTGCTATGGGGGAAGGGAAGGCAAAAATATTTATCTGAAAAGCATTACTAGTTTTAGGGCTGTGTATTTTCTAGCTGGCTTGACATCACTTGTTATTATTTGTTATACCAGCATACAAATGCAATTGAAGAGAAGCAGCTCTTTCCTCAGGTAGCCCTTCACACAGTTGCCACATGGATAAATGGCTTTTACATGGCAATCTACACAAAACAGACGCAAAACTGTGTGCCAGTTAAACTGCAATCGCTTGACACACCAAGAAATACAGGTAGAACTGGGGGCACCGCCTTGTGTGTGCCACTACTCAGCATCTTCCATCAAATTCATCTTCAGGGACGTGTTGGTGCTTCAGGCGGTACTGAAGTAAAGAAACATTTCCACAAATAGATGCAAATACAGTTTAAAAACAAAAAAGAGAGAAAGAGAGAGAGAGCGCAACTGCTAGAAATGCACACCTACACAAAGACAGAAATGCCTTTACTTACTTGTAAGCCCATCTGAAATACAGAGTGACCCATAAAGTTAGCTAACATTCGAATAAGAGCTGCACCCTGTGGGAAATAACAGAGAAAAAAAGAAGTTACCAGTTTTGCATGTCAGTATTATACAATAATAACAATCTGAAGTAGCCATTTCCATCCTACATTATCATCTTAGAAACTTGCGATTAATATATTCCTTACTTGTGCTGGAATGAAAAAGAGAGAGATGATAATGCAAACGCTTACAAGGGGAAGTGAGGAAGCAGACTGATACTGTTACTATCCTGCCTTGTATACCGAATAAGGTGCAGGTCATAAAACACACTCTCCACTGCTGGAGCACGGATGTGTCAGCTCCACAGCTGGGTTCCCCCAGCCCTTCTGTGCACTCAGCAGTACTGCACAGTTTTAAATGAGGGCAAAAACCAATGTCTATGCTAAATTCTACCATAGTGATTATTCATAATTCTTTTACCTTTGTTATACTACTGTAAATCAGGATTTAGTGATACTACTTTCCTTTGTAAAAGCCTTCAAGATCTGATGATTTGGAAGTGGATCGTTTTCATGAGAATTTTATAAGACGTGGATATCCATATTTGACTTATTAATAGTCAGATTATTCCCCACACTGTCATGCAAAGAGGTAAGTGCTTGCATAACACTC